AGAGAGAGAGAGAGAGAGAGAGAGAGAGAGAGAGAGAGAGAGAGAGAGAGAGAATGGTTTCCACTCAGCCCTTCGGAGAAGCCTCCCTCCGCCTTTGGGGCGGAAAGGGAGTCTGCGGATGAAAATCTAGTCGAATCTTTACGCTCGCGTTCGCGGGGTATCGAACCTGGGAAAAAATGAAATTGCCGGCGACCGGTCGATAGCGCGCTAGAACTGAGAGTTCCGTCAGGGGTTGAGAGGAAGAAAACGCTTCCCCCGCGGAGTGCTCAAGGGCCAGCCAGCGAAGGGATATTGCTTCGGTAAAACAATACTCGAGGAAAGGAGAGAAGCTTTGGGAACTCTGCATGGGTAAAATTCATCGAGTCGGCACGGTCTCCTAACATCTCCACTCGGCTCGATGCGGACGATAAGTAGCACTCGAGCACCCGTCGACGTCCACGTTCCTCGGTCCACGTGGACGAGCCGCTGTTTTCGCTTCTGCATCGAGTGGTTAACCCGTCGAGGGACCACTGTCTTCGAACGGACAAATTAATAATTATCGACGTTGCTCCAGAATTTTTGATTGAAATTCTATTCCCTCGTAGATCTCATGCAACCCTGCAAAAAAATATGTAGAAAGTTTTTCTTTAACGCAATAAGATTGTTTATAAAAATTATTTTTCAATTCCTCGGTCAAAATGAAACATACTTCCTCAAATAACGTATAGAGGCAACTTTCATTGTTTATGAGAAAAAAATTCCTGAAGTAAAGAATGCACTAAAGGAGTGTTAGAACTACAGGAGTACAAACAAGACAAGCGATCTGATATGCATTGGCAATCTGTTAAGAATAAACTGCACCTATCATCTGTCGCTTGTGTGCAGATTAACAAAAAAAAAAAAAAAAAAAAAAAAAAAAAAAAAAATCTAAAGCTCCTTTTAGAAAACAATTTGTAATAAATACACCAGGTCACAGTATGATCTTTTTCCGAGACCAAGCGAAGTTAACAATCGAAACACGTCACAGCTGTAAGCTACATCCACTGAAAAGGTAGAATGCGCGAGAAAAACACGTGACCCAGCCAGGGAGAAAGGAAACGCGCAACATTTCGCTCGCGCTCGACTCTCGTCAATGGTTTCAGAGCGAAAAATGAAGGACCTAGAAGAGCCTCGCGACTAAGAACGAAATATTACTCGTGCCGTTGTCGTTTCTGTTAAGATTCAAGCGGGCGCGAAACGCGCTGCCGATGCGAGACGTAAGAGATTAAAAAATCTCCGGCTTTCGAATGCTTCCGGAGCGGTGGACGTCGAAAGCGACGAAAGCTAACGTAGCGTCGACTACCGTGCTTTTTCGCGCGTTCTCTGTTCCCTGGTTCAGACTCCCTTAACGATCATTCGACAAGGCAGAAGAAAATGCAGGTTACAACGAAGTGGCGAACACAAGAACCTGGCACAGAGTACGTTCTTCCTGAACGATAAAGGCATATTATTACATGGTCTAGGTCATTGTTTTTCAACATGGCGATATTGCCCCAAAATGAAAGATTCACACCTTGAAGTGGATGATGGTCGCTTTAAAAATATATTATATATTATATTTCAACACGTTGGCTGCTAAGCTAAAACTCGTAAAAATTTCAATAAAGTTAAAATTTTGTCTAAACTACATAAAAATTGGATAGCTCAACATCTGTTATAGTATTTAATTTTTTAACGTCGTCAAATTTACGAATCCTGTCCAGATTTATTTTCATTATTGTCTCATCTTTGAAATTAATTTTATTAGTTCCTTAATGACAAGGTCTATCACCCATTTCTGGGTGACGTGGCGACCAACGTGTTAACTGCTATGAATGGAAAGTAAAATTTTAATTATAGCATTGCCAAATTTATATTTAGTTAAACGAGGTTTCAATGCTGTTTTCCAATCGCCATATTATTATCATTGTTATACTATCTTGAGTACCCAGATTTAACATTCTCGTAAACTCGTTAATAAGAAATGGTCGTACCGAGACTGACAAAGTGTGGTCGTCTGCGTTCGTGTCGTTTTACACTTTTCGTTTCCGTATTCGAATTCACGCAACGATCTACGATATATCAAAACTGTCGGGGCACGTTATCGCATGGTCTTCTAATATGTCGGTAGTCAGGGGTGCTGTTTCCTGGACGAACGATCATCCAGGGCGATCCATAATGCATGGCGTGTTTAGAGTCCGCCGATAGAACGATATTTCGTCTACTTTCAAACCGGGGAATCCACTATTCTTGCGATGCTCCTTTACAGATTCCGTGGCGGCTGTTTCTTTCATCCTCTTTTCATGTATCTTCGTGGGGGTGATTTATAAGATTTCCATATATTACGGTCAGCATTGCTTACGCAAGGCTATAACGTATCTGCGTGTCTGTCCATTTACGTTTTTTTGCAACCTTCCGACCAATAGGGAATTTATATATAGATAGAATTATAAATAGAAATATAATATTGCATATTACCGAAGCGTTAATGAAAAATGAACGAGGAGAAAAAGAGAGAGAAATTAATTCTGTCCCTTCATATTCAATCGTCTATACCTGTAGCTCAAATTGTTTTTCTTATTTTCCTTCTCATATGTGGATCTGCATACTTCCCAGCTAAAATAATTTACACCAGTCTTCAACGATCTTTGAATAAACCGTACGCGTCGTAACGTTCGGGGATCCGAAACAAAACTGAACCAGATTGCTGCAGACTGCCTTGTCGCTATGGTGGCGTCTGTTGGAATCACCACCTTTTGTTTATAGAATTCGATCGGCCCTTTGTCGGCCCCCGCGTTCTCCCAGCTCTCGCCGGTCGCGGTCGCTTTCAATACTCTTCTTTCTTTTCTTTTTTATGGTATATTTCTGTGTACATTATTTTGTATAAATAACTTCGTCGCTCCTTCTCCTGAAAAAGACCATACGTTTCAGTTGGTGTTTATTTACTCGAATCAAATTTTCCCTATCATTGGCATCGAGTTATTCCCGATCTCGATGGCCAGAAAGTAATTTGTTCCGTAACAGTTCGATCTGTCGTAGTTCCCTCGAGCAACAAAAACGGACGTTGTGATTTAGCTTGCGTGTCACGATAGTTGCAACGCGGAAACCCTGACAGGGCCGATACGCGCGTTGTTCATCATCCAATTACCGGGTGTAGTAAATTAACGACTATCGCGTTGTTGCTATGACGTGCAACGGCTACGATGAATCGACTCTTTAGAATTACACCCTTTGCGCGGTGTGTTTTCTATAAAGCTCGACGCCAGTGCTTCTCAAACGTCCTCTTCCTGGTACCGATGACAAATTTTTAAGAACAAAAACTCTGAAACAAACCTATTAGGTCGATCTAAAAATAATTTCGTTTTCTAGTTGTTAACTTAGAAGTGTCACAAATAAGTTCGGTATGATGTGTACAATAATGGAAGAACTTACAATGTTTGTTTCTGATTCTTTTCTATCTTTGTATAGAAAATTACAAAATTAAATAGTAACCTCGGAAAGTACAAAAAAAGAAATCAGTTTTGCATCAACCTGCAATCACTGCGCAAAATAATGAAAGCCACTGCGATAAAAATAAAACTGAGAAGGGTGCCAGGAGACAAAGACGTTTGAGAAACACTGTTCGGTAGCATTTTATTCGCGCGGTTTCCGCGTTGCATTCCTTTCTACGAATTTCTAAAGGTCCCGCCGCGTCGCGGTTCGAAAATCGCGTCCTCTATTCATATTTCTCGTTTTCTTGTCGACGGCTTGCAGAAAGGCACCTGGTGTCAAAAGTTTCTGTTTAAACCTCAGGCGTCTTTAACTACCCAATGGTGTTCACGTTAGACCCAAGTAAACAAAGCGATACAAATAGTCGTCTTAGGATTAAATTCCAAGGGCTTTGGATTCTCGAAGAAGAGAAAACGCTCATCGCGAATCGAAATTTTCAGCCTCTACTCCGAACAGCGAAACGTGAGGGTGTTCGTTCATTACTATCCCTCGCGCCATCGTCGATTTCCCTTCTACGCGTTTCTTTCCACACAACGAGCAACCGTGCCACCGCGGGAAATCCCATTTGTACAGGCCGCGTCTGCCGGCGAACGTATTGCCTCGCCAACCGTATTTGCGTACGCCTGTTTGGGGTGCGTGAGGGTGCATTCGTTTACCCGAAACTCGATTTCGGAGCTATGGTAATTGAATCTCGAGTGGTCCGACGTGGTCAGCCGTTGGTAAGTTTATGGCAAAGCAGGAGGCACTTGAGAGAGTATCCCGGTATCGATACAGGAGAACTGGGCCATCCACGGGATTCTATCAAACAGAAATTATTTAAGGTGACTGCAAAGGAAGGAATATTTCTTTTAAGAAAACGGGATAAAGCTTATAGTTGAATTATTTTCATCGATTTGAAAGAATTCTTTTAATGGGGCGTTTGTATCACTGTAGACTAGAAGAAAATGTATTTAGAAGCGAACCTTATTCGCCGGGATTCGAACCCGGACCCGGCGGAGTTGCAGGCTTCTGCATTACTTGCTACGCTAAACATCATCCGCCAGGAAATGTACCAAAAGAATCGATTTTTCTAAAACGCTGGAATAAAATAATTCAAATTTCGGTAAGGGAACGGAGCCGCTACCCTGCTTGCAACGAATCCATTTTTCTTCTTGTCTTAGCCCTCCGGTACTCGCATCTATTTTTGAAATACGAGCACGGTCGCATACGTCGCGCCTTGTGTTACCTTTTAGCGCCTTATATACTGGGCGTATTGTAACATCTGTGACCCACTTCAGCTGCGAATTAAGGGCGTAAAAACAATAGAAAAAAAATTCATATAAACGCGTGTCCCGTTCAACTTCTGTTATAGCCGTTCTTGGGCTTTGGTAGCTTTAATTGCAAACTGAGCTAATGCAACCTTCTGTCGAACTCTTCTTATAGAATACCCTGTAACTCAAAATTTAACAGTCAGAGACACCATTTATTTACTTGTTCATTTTGCATATATTTTGAATATATTTTGCATGAGTAAGCAGTTAAATCCACGTGATTCAATGGTTTCGTTCGTACACGCAGAGAAAATAACGAAGAGGACGTTTATTTGCGCAGCGAGCGAACGAGTACATCTATCAATTGCGAGCGTCGAGTCGCTAAATATTTAGTTTCGCATTATGCACCCTCCTAACGAAAAACGTGGGATCCTTCCACTTAGACGGACGTTCATCCGCAAGCCGGCAAACATGTACAGTCGTTGTGGGTAGCAGAAGGCAGCAGACGTTTATTTGCCCACCACTCTTCTATCGATCGCGTGCAGTTTGCCGAAGCCTCGTTAGATACCATTTGCCGAAAGATATCTTTCTCGATTAAAAACCGCTGCGAATCGAAATTCCTAATCATCCGTTAAATGCGTCCGTTAGATTGCTGTTCGATCGTCGGGATCCTTGGATAGTTACCGACGTAATGGGATTGCGTAATTTCATTGGACGGCGTCTTGACATCTGCTACTAGATTGCTACTTCGTCGACGTCTCGCTTTTCCAGTAATTGGCGACTGCGTCTTTACTATAAATAAAAGAGCAAAATAAATTTCTGAATTAAGGATTCTGTTTTCTATTCATGACATTCTCACCTGGTTGTTTAATAAATCTAAAGAATTAACGCGTTCACGTCAGGATTCTAGAATGTCAATAATAAACGAAGAGGATCCGGTTATACATTTAGGAAGTATTTTATAAATAGAAATGCATCTGTTACTTGATGAAATAAAAACTATGTTACACGAATTTCAGATATTCGAAGCTTTCAAGTACCTCTTTTATGCGCGTACTTGTAATAAATACATTCAACGTACAGTCGATCAAAAATCGTCCATGTAGAAGACATAAGATGAAGATACCTTCGTTTTGCATAATTTAAAGTCTAAAAATAGAGTTCGTTCTCCTTTCCATAATTTTTAAAGTTATTTTACTGATCGCCTCTAAAGTACACATCTCATTCAGTTAACGATCAAAAGTCATCCTACGCTGGTCATTAATGTACAGGCGTGTTTCCTATCTAAAATCCGGCAATATTTAAAAAATCATTCTCTCGTGAAACCGGAAGTCCGTGAAAAAATCACAGGAATTCCTGTAACGTCGACACGGTCGCTGGAACTAATTCACGAACGGTTTGCCGCAGGAGGAAAATGTGGAGCTCGGTAACCGCGGCTGGCACTGAAAATGGGCCCGCGCCACCTTCCAGGAGCAAGCACAGCGCCACTTTGCTCGCCGGTCACGTATATCTCCTCGGAGGACGAAACGGCAATCTTCCCCTCAAAGATCTCTGGCGATACAGCCTGGGTAAGTGATAATTATTACAAACGCCTTTAATTCCTCCGTCGCGGAGCAACCGAACGGTTACGGGCGCGCTTTAGAAGCCAAACGACGGGATTAGAAGCGGCGAAAGGGAAAGTGAAATTCGCGGATAGGGCGGATCCTTGTAATTATAGGGGGTATTAATACTCGATGTCTGGGTACCGAAAGCACGGTACGCGAACAACATCTCTGACCAACGCACCCCATCGTCTCGCTCCGTGAACGAGGGGTGCGCGACGGAATTTAAACGGGGTTCGGTCTGATCAATAATACGCCGTTATTAAAGCCCACGTATATCAACTAAATCCGCCAGGATGTACTCCATAATTACGACTGTTTCCACGGAGGTCAGACGTATCGAAATAATTGCATCCATGTCACGATAATCAACAATTTCCGCGTCTGGTAAACGTGGTTTCAAAGGGGTTGCTCGAGCTTAAATTTCTCAAAACGACCGTTTTCCGAGCTGCTTCAAAATTGTTTAAAACGACGTCTATTTTATTTATCAAGACTCTGGGCAAGAATAGGGAATCTTGACTTGTCACGAAACCAGTAATTATTTGTACCGTGACGCATTATGTAAAAGCGGAGTTTTTGGGAGTTTTGAAATTCAACCCGCATTCAACCTAGTCGCGTGAACTCATTGGGCGATTCCAATATTGGCCACTCGGGTCTACTGGGAATACGTTTAGAGTGCTGCCAGTCGGATGATCGAAACTTGGCCGAGATCAAAGCGGCCAGCTATTCGAACCAAATAATCCTCGATAAGCGCATTCTTTGTTTTTTTCCTGTGCATCGTCGTGCTCGAAAACTTTGACGAAATACTTCAAAGAGCCCGTTGCCTGGCGAATCGCCATTTTCTTTTCGTTTAGAGATGAAAGCGTTTAAATATTTGTTATATATTTTCCATTAATTCCATAATTCCATCTCATAAATTCAGAAAATCCGCAGCCTAGTCACGAGAGCCTTATGAAAAAAGAATATTAATTAACAGACGTATAATCAGTAAAATGAAATTCATGCACTCGAGGGTTAACTTACATTCTATGGGTATTATGCAGCAACGCGCGTTAGCGTTAAAAACGATGAGTACGGAACGCAAGAGAATCGACGCTGGTCGATGGAACGTCCATGGGAGTCTCTATTAATCAGAGGGGATTGTTCGACAGCGGGTTCGGGTGAATATTAAAGCAGCATCGAAGGGGTTGGATCGCGGCGGCGGCTTGTCTCCTGGGGGCAAATACTAGCCGGAGGGGCCGTTGGCATGTTTTAAAAGCATAGCACTGTCGATACTTGATCTTGCAAAAATATTGTGATAACTCGAAGAACCACGAGAGTGCTCCATCTTTGAACGTTTTTGTTTCACCCTCGTTTTCAGCCAGTGGGGATTTCGAGGGGCTCGCTTCGCGCTAAAGTCTTCCTTCATTAAATCAGTCTCCATCGTGGGTTCAGAAGTCCCATCCGTAACCATTGTCGCCACGCTCGAAGAGCGATTTAACACCACGCAAAAGTATAAACAAGCTCGATAGGCGTAATCAAGCGTTTACAACTCTGCAATAAAAACAGTCACATAATAATTACTTAGGTTTGCTTTGCTTCATTTGTAGTGTGTTATACAGTAACCGTACATGAAGAGATGTTGTTTCGATCGGTAGAATGATCCATGTGTTCGACATTTGTCGGGCGGTTTCGCGAGACGTCGTGTCGCGTTCTCGTTTGTTTCCATGCAAGCTGTTGAAGGGCATGCGAGAGAGTCCTTTACCTTTTCGATGCAACGGTCGTGCGTGCGGATATGTTGGGTCAGTCTTCTTATACTTTTTTCAATTTTATATTCTCAAATACATCCTATTCACCATTTCTCATTTCTTCATACCTTACCATTTCTACATACATCACTTTCATATCGATACTTCCGATGTATTATTGTATCCGCGAGAGATAATATTTTTGCTCAGGTTCGGAGAATTATTTAACGCGCTCCCGGTAGATATTTGAAGTGGTTCAATCGCGCGCGAGTCACGTTCGTCCCGGCTTCGTGGCGATCTTTTTTCTTTTTCATCAAAGCCATCGCAGTTTTACCCTGTGAACAGCACTTTTAGACAAAAGGGCGCATTGCTTGGTAGCCAACTAGATACGACACGTGTACGTAATCAATGTCGGGCATCTCTAGTGCAGGTCTACGAGGCCCAATGCTACTTCAACCAGCGCGTTATGGCTCTTACGTAAATTTCATAGGCTTTGTTCTCGGGCACGTTCCAGTACGAAGCTGGAACTTGGATATTTAATGGCCAAACGCGGACAGGTCCGCCGGATGTCGGGAAGCTCCGCCGCGAAATCGTTTTCTATCTTGCTGATATCAACGCATAACTCCTGGAGGGTGGAGTCTTTTGTGATCCATATAGGCAAGGGTGGATTCATCATGAGACTAACGAGGATTCAAAGTCCTCACGGAGAAGAGGCTCCCAGGAGCTTCTTATTAATTGATTTTTTAATTTACTCGTAACCGCTGTTCGGAAGCAGATTCTTCTTTTGTTCCTGGAAAATGGTGCCCTTGGTACAGATAGTCTCATATTTTTTCCTGATTGCATCCTCAGCACCGCGAAGGTTACGAATCGAAGATTAAATAAGAAATGCTTCCTTTGGCATTGATCGCGGAAATCTTGCCCTTCTTTTATTCGTGTAATGTAACTTCGTGCCTCGCTGATTTCTTTTGCCTTTCTTTGCTCGGCCAGATTAGGGGAGCGTCCCCTTTCTCTTCGCCTAAAACTTCCGAAGGGCAAAGAATACCCGTCTTGTTAAGCGTTTGCAGTAAAGGGAAGAAGCGAGCTTTAATATTCCCCTTGAAGCGTTAACTTAACGCTGGAAGGACTCGGATTCATCGATGCTGGAAACTTTTACGTGTATTTATGTTTTAATACCGAAAGCTCTAATCCGCGAACCTTTTTCGTTAACGTTTCGTTCTTTTTTCATGAGTCCTTGGCACTGCTTAGATTTAAGGCCTTCGAATCCACCCTCTTGTATCCATCGTCTCTATTTTCGGCTCTGTTTCCAAGAAGACCCGACGAGTACTTCGAAGATTTATTTCGGACCACCAGATTGCAAGGGCGGGTGAAAGTGTGATTTAGCGTGTTGAAAAAGGTTTTTCGTTTCCCAGCGGGCTCGGGATTCCTTTCTCCTATATCTGGTTTCTGTAGTTTATTGTCGATTCGATCTGTTGGAATAGAAACAAATGAATAATTCTATTCTCAAAACGGAATTCGTTTTACTTATCTGTCATGCCATTATAAATGTTGAATGGATAAAATTTCCAGTCTATTTACGACTACAGAAATTACCTGAGAATGTAGAGGCGGTTCCTCGACTATTCGCACATTTTTTAAAATTAAATTTCAATTCTTCATCTGAGTTAGGTCTGAAGCTATCCACCTTATATTCACAGCATATGTTTCTGTGGTGCTTCGGATTGATTTTGTTTATATTAGACCGCCCTGGTCTAAAAATTTGAATTGCCACCTTAATATATTGCCGCGTAAATCTTGTTTATCCACCTCGTTGCAAAGAGACACCGGGGTCTGGCGTATGAAAACGTTTGGAATAACGAGCCCGCGCGTTAACCCTCTCTGTATTTTTCCTTTCCAGCCGAGAGCAAATGGGAGGAATTGCATCCTGGGGGAGAGAGACCGCCAGCACTTCAGGAGCACAGCGCGGTGGCTTACAAGGATTGCCTTTACGTTTTCGGGGGAGAACTCGGATTTTCCGCAGGCACGGAAACGCCACTCTGGGTTTACAATGTCAAGGTAACGTATCGCCCTCGGGCGTACCGGATTCCACCCCTTTGAAAGAAGATTACGCGCGATGCCGCAGCCGTTACTCTCAGGCTTTCTCCCACGCAGGAGACGCAACACCGTACATTTTTGTTGTACAGGGTGTCCCGTAACTGGTGGTACAATCAGAAAGGCGGTGATATTCTACACGCAAATATAAGTCGAGAATATGATTCCTAGCCGTCCAAGAATTTGGTACAGGTTAAATCAGTTGCCGAGATTTAGTTTCGTTTAATTAAATTTACGCGATTCGATTTGGTTTCAAGCTGGATCATATAGCCCGGAGGTATTTGGCCCTGGTAGGGACGCATCATCCCCCAATTCGGCGAACGAGACGGAGGGCTGTATCGGCCCTGATTGACAATATCTTGCTCCGGCGCTTTTCGTTTAAACTCGTTACTGCGAAATTCGTTCGTAGGACGTAGACAGATGTTCCTATAATTCCCGTTTCGCAGAGGGTGACCAAACAGACCCCTTGGTATGAACGCATTCCTAAGAGTTTCGCAATCCGTATCCGCAATCGACGAAAAGGGCTGGGATCCAACCAAGACCTCTTACGCGTAGGACAGAGGAGCGATGTTCCCGTTGCTCGTTTCACGTCGCGCTTATTATCTCCTCCAAGGAGTCCTCGCCACTTCACGGAGAACAACGGCAGAACAAACGCAATTGCTCGATGGCGGTCTCCTCGTAGTTGTCCCTCGTTGCGTGCCACCGGTTCCTGAAACTCAGCCCTCTCCTACACGTCAGAACGAACGCGAGGGTGAACGGATGTTCCCGTGTAAAACTGCTTGTACCCGATGACGTTCCTATTGATTTAGCGGTTTCCCGAGGGTGCGATTCTTTCGCCTCTCGCTCCTTCGTCTTCAATGGCGACCCCTGCGTGTACGGCACCCCTGCAGAACGAGTAAGATCATTAAAAGTTTCCTCTGCGAGATACGACACCCACTACGAGATCGTTATCAAGGAACACGGGAGCGGTGTCAGGAAAGAGGTCGAAGCAGTCCCTGTAAATTCATTGTCTGGTAAATTATGGCGACTGCAACTTGAGTCGCATCCCAGAATCCAAGAATTCCTTGATTCGAGCACGGTTTCAGGCTGACGATGATATTGCATAAATATTTGTTAGTCCAATCCAGAAGTAACCGTTCTTCTAACGGTGTTCTCCAGTTTGTTCTTCTTCTTTGTCAAGAGAAAAATTTTATACCGTTACTATACCCATGACTTAAATTACAAACGAGATTAAAAAGGTATCGAAACTCGTTTTAGTTTCAGGGCAAATTTTATGCAGTTCCAGTCTGATATCCGTTGATTAATGGCACGACGATCCTGTCACGTCATCGTAATATCCATGAAACCGGAAGCAATGACTCGCTGCAGGTGGTATAATTTGTCACTGTCAGGAACGATGAACTGCCATCAGCTATCGAAGCCGCGCATCGAGAACGAGGCACTCCAACGCGTTTACGACAGTCGACGATTCGCTGAACCCCCAAGCACGTCGTTGTGGTTAAAAACACGGAATTGTAAACGAACAAAGTATCTTCTTTATGATAAATGTGACTGTATAAGTCGAACCACGCTTACAAAAATCAAAAGGAAAATCACGGCCTACAGCACGGTTGCTGAAGAACGTAATTGGTCGTCTCAAAGTCTCTAATATCTTCCAGATTCTTACCATGATATCGCTCACCTGCTCGATTAGTTTAATTTTGTGGAAAACATGGTCGCCTTAAAAATCTTCGATATCTTCCAGATCCTTGCCGCAGTATCGTCCACTTGCCCAATTGGTTTAATGAATTTGTGGAAAAAGCAATTGGTCGTCTCGAAAATCTTTTATTTCTTCTAGATCCTCGCTACGATATCGTCCACTTGCTCGATTGGTTTAATAAATTTATTCGGGCCGATCACGAAGCTCGTCTAGTCGAGAATAGAAGAAATATGAACGTGACTCGAACATGCGATTGCGTTCTCTGCCGATTTGGCTCGAAATAATGCGATTCGAGCACCAATTATTATTATTATTATTATTATTATTATTATTATTATTATTATTAT